ATAATAATAATAATAATAATAATAATAATAATAATAATAATAATAATTAAAAACCCAATGATTAATCATTCCCTGAATTCAGCTTCTTGCCATCATCTCCCCTTTAGCATTTCAGAAGTGTTGGACCTCTGTCAGGTTGATGCTGAGACCATTCTTGGCAACTTGGGATTCACGGAAGAATTAGCACAGGCTGCCACTTGGATTCCTGATCGGTTCTTCTCTGTTCCATCCCAAGCTGAGGGCATAAATTTCCATCTCTTTCTAAGAGCTCAGGTCCAGCGGATCGAGATGGAGGATCCTTGCCTCATGTTAGTAAGTAAGTGTCTCTTTCACGATTGGAGGTTCTCTTTTTTTGGCAGTAACAGGCCATTGCTCAATGGCAAAACATCCACTTTGGATGAAAAGGGTCTTGGGTTTGATCTCTCTCATTCCTGGAAATGATCAACAGGCAGTAGGTGAACAATTCAGGAACAGGGTGAGGAATCTGTGGTTGATCAGATATTGAGGAAGTACTACTCCCAATAACTCCAATCAGCACAGCCATGATGTAAATATCACAAACAGAGCCATTTGTGCTGGCACGCGAGCCGCAGGCAAACTTACCTCACTGTGCATGCACGCACCTCACAGCTGACTTTTTGGCTGGTTTGAGGCCTTTCTTGGCCTCCTAGAGGCTTAGAAAAAGCCTCTGCAAGGCTTTTCAGGCCGAATTATAGGTCTGTTTCATCACTTCCTGTAATACCAGAAGTGACGAAATGGGCCTATAATTCATCCTGAAAAGCCTTGCAAAGGCTTTTTCCAAGCCTCAGGGAGACCGAAGAAGGCCTCAAACCAGCCGAAAAATCAGCTGTGAGGTGCAGTGCAGGTAAGGGGGTGGTGGGGGGAATTTCACGGGCATGCGCAGGGAGCATGGGGAGGGGGCGCATGCATTGCATTCTGGGTGCTGGCACGCACAGTTTTTTGGCACAGGAGCCCAAAAAGGTTAGCCACCACTGGCCTATAGCATGTAAAGCTGGCTCAGCAACAGGTGGAAGATTATGTGTTTCCCACCTTTGAGTAAAACAATAAGCATGCCTAGGGTTTAACACTAATTTTAAAATGATTATCCCCAGATGTATCTCTGTGCCTCCCCAGTCTGCACCTATATCTACAAGTAGGCCTTGACTTACGACTGCAATTGAGCCCAAAATTTCTGTTGTTAAGTGAGGTATTTGTGAGTTTTGCCCCATTTTACAACCTTTCGTGCCACTGTTGTTAAGGGAATCACTGCAGTTGTTAAGTGAGTAACTCTGTTGTTAAGTGAATCTGGCTTCCCCCATTGACTTTGCTAGTCAGAAGATCGCAAAAGGGGATCACATGACCTCAGGACACTGCGACGGTCATAAATATGAACCAGTTGCCAAGCGTCTGAATTTGGATCATGTGACCATGGAGATGCTGCAAAGGTCATGACTGTGAAAAATGGTCACAAGTCACATTTTTCAATGCTGTTGTAACTTTGAATGGTCACTAAATGAACTGTTGTAAGTTGAGGACTGCCTGTATTTATATGGCATAGCTCTGTTGTAATCTACTTTATTACAATAGAAATGACAACATGGTGGGCTGTTGACAGGAAGAATGACGCAAATTCATTGTTGAGGATGCTGGCAATTGTGGAGTTGTAACGGTTGGGGGTGGGGAAAGTGCCTTAGAATTTGTCTAACATCATGCAATAGTATGGTTTGTTTATTTAGTTATGTATTTTTTACTAAATATATACACCTCCCATCATGACATCTAGAGCAAGTCCGGGTGACTTGGCTACAAATTGCAATGATGAGATTGCAAATTATATTTAATAACGTAGAAAGGAGAAGCGATTTTGGGGGGATGTGGAGACCCACAAAACGTTGGGGAGGAAGCCCCATCCTTCCTGAGACTCCATGACTCCTTATAACTTTGGACAGTACCTCCCAAAGTTATCCCTAAGCCATAGTCTTTAATATGAAAGGTGGGAAGAGGGAAATCATTACAGGTGCAATTTTAATCATACAAACTCTTATTAATTTTAAGATAACACTAGCCTGGAACTTGGTGGATATAACTTGGTTATAGGATAACAGCTTCCTATGATGTTCCTCAAAAGATATGCAAACAGTTAGTAGGAAAGCATAAAACCTGACAATCGTTAGCTACTTTGAGTTACCTGAAATATCATTTCAACCAGGTGGAGCACCAGGTTTAACCTTATATGGGCTCAGCAGCTAAGCAGGATTAAGCCTGGTTAGAACTTGGATGGGTGAGCACCAGGAAATACATGAGCTGAAAATTAGATTGGAAAAGTGAAGAACGTTCTGGAAGAAAAACAACCATAGCTTCCATATTGCTGACAGGAAAGCTGCATGGATACACCATGTGTTTACCAGAAATCAAACTTTATTCTAGAATATTAGGATCATTATTTTGGGTGCAAAGGAGTGCTGAATATAGGAAAGGACATTAAAGGGTGGTTCTAAGTTATGCCAGTTGTGATTTATACAATCTTGAAGTTGCACAAGGAGTGAAAAACAGAGGGGCCTTTTTTTTTGGTCACACATACTATGGTACATACACAAACAGGAGTCCATTCACTCACGCACAAAAACCATTTTTGTTTTTTAAACCCATTTATATAGCTGCCCAATTCACACCCAGTGACTAGCTAACCTATGCAAAATCCAGCATTTGCAAGGAATCCAGAAATGGAACAGAGATGGGAATCACATTGTTGCTTTTGTATATTAATTTGCCCAAACCATCCAAGGTGGACATAGTGCTATTAAATTAGCATTGTTTAAATAAGAGTGCAAACTATTCAAATATTTGTTATCATACCAGTATGTTTACTCTCAACTGGCAATGTGCACTGCAAAGTCTGGCCTGCAACTATGAAAAATCAAGGAGCAGTTAGTACTTTTTTAATCTGAATGGCTTTTTTTTCTCTGACACATCTCTCTGCTCCTTTTTCAGGTCGGTTCAGAGATGTCCAAACCCTGAGTGAAACAACTGATGATTGCTTCTGCCTCTATTCATATATATCTAAGACACCAGTACAGGAAATCTCACCTGGACACTTGTTCTGGGCCTTTCCAGAAACCCCGGATTCCTGGAATATTCCTTCCCAGCCAGTGTCTTCATCTTCACTCCATGCCCTGCAAAAAACTATGTGCTTGTGTACCTCATCCCAGAAAGAATGGCCCCTGAGAGCTTTCAGTATGCAGTCTCCTGTGAATTGCCTGGAACAGGATATGTGGGAGGTGATACATAAGGCTCACAAAGGTCGATTTCCATTTAACATGGAAGACCTGGAGGATGAAACTCAAGCAGTGCCCATGAAGGATTCAGTTTGTCACCGTAGAATGGGCAGAAAGGTAGCTTCTTCAGGATCTGCCTTCATAGAGACACCTCCAGCTATTACTCCCTGCAGCTACTGTGAAACTCCATATTATTCGTGGAAAAGTGCAGAAATATCCTTGCCAGGATGGCTTTCTTTCCATTTTGGTGGGACAAGAAAGAAGACATTGGACAATGTTGGCCCCCAAGAGGTAGGCCATTTTGGACATCATTCTTCACCAGAAGCTACCTCTCCAGATGAAACCAGTGAAGAATCTGATGAAGAGTAACCCATTGAGAAGAGAAGAGGACTGTATGGATCTCTTGATAGAATTCCTGGCAAGGAATTTAGTGTGTGCACAAAACACAGGTATCCAACTTCTCCAACATGATCTTAATCATGTACACTGTGGCCTAATTCCACGCATTAAAGCTCTAGCACCATATTGGTGCTCTGAAGATTAATAGTAGAGACCTACTTTAAATGGATAACATGAAGATGACTTAACTGATGGTAAAATTGCTTGAATTCATTAATTATTATTTGTATTACCCTGTTTCTCCAACAATACGGCCTCCCCCAATAGGAAGTCCCAGCATGTTTTATAGGCATGAAATGAAATTAAGCCCCTCCCCCCAAATTAAGGCCTATATTAAAACATGCGAAATGGTGGGGGGCTTGCTGTTAGGAAGTACTTTTGTTGCACACCTGGATATGGTGCTGCCTGCGTTGACCCCGATACGAAGTGCCCCACCAACGCCGAGGTCAACATCCAAGCCGTCGCCGCCTGCCCGCCCGAAGATGCAAGGAGGGGGGGGCGGAATTAAGTCACCTCCGAAAAGACGGCCTAGCCATTTTTTCGGGGCTCAAAAAAAAATAAGACCCGGCCTTATTATATGAGAAACACAGTATTACATTCAGTAGCTTTTGGAGATCTGAATTCAGCACAAGTCTTTGCTGGAGGATGGACACCTGCAGATAAACAAAATATTACTAATAATGTTGCTGAATATCCTATTCAAAGAAAAAATGCAAGTATTTATACCAGTGACTTGGATGCAAAACATGGGTCTAGTCCAGCTCTATGTGAATGCTAAGAAGCGTTAACTTTATCATCTCTGAAGTAAAAGCTGGAGTAATGAAGAATACATGAATGCAAAAAAAGCCTCATTTCTATCAGAACTACATCTTGGAGAGAGAGCAAGAGACTAAGAGGCTAGATGAGAAACAGGTGCAAGAATTATGGAGATGCTTCCCTTTATCTATCTAGTTCAAGGGTGTCAATCTCACGGCATCACGTTGTCATCACATGACGTATTGTGACTTTTTTCTGCTTCACTAAACCGGACTTGGGTATGGCCAGCACATGATGTATCTGGCCTGTGGGCTGCGAGTTTGACACCCCCTGTCTAGTTCAAATAGCTTATAGGCATAAAGAGATATAGCCTCCAACAGAAATATTTTTGAGTAGTGATGAAGGGATTGGGAAAACCTTCAGAAACTTCTGAAATCACACAACTATAGTTCAATGATAAATTATCACAAAATGGGGGGTAATTTCCAACTGTTCTTTCTTAACAGGAAAGAAATATGTATAAGACATTCGAAAGGAAAAAAATATGTTGAAAAAAGTTATGCCTAAAAAAGAGACCCCTCCAAAAACAACTCCTTCCTTACGTTTGGTTGAAATGATAGAAATGTCACATTTGGTTGCGTTGACTTTTTTCTAGGGTTGCTTCAGGCCATTTCCCCAAACTGTGTGAATAGGTCACAGTATTTCTATAATGAAAAGAGTTGAATTGTGTTTTGTCCCAGATCAGCACCCTTTTATCAATATGCCTTAACAATGAATGAGTAATGAAATTAGGATTCCTGCCTTTGCTTGACCAGCAACCCTGAGGTGCACCCAAAATGCACCATTTCGCAGAACTGCTATATTTGCAATTTGCATTTGTCTTTACATTACAGCACAATATAAAATAAATTTAAAAATAGCATCAATTTTACAGTGAAATCAGTGCAGTTTTTTGGGGGGAAAAAGAAGCCCAGAGACTATTGCTTCAAGTAAAACTATTTGTGGTATATGTGTAATTAGGTCTAATTTCCATGGGTTTAAGGAATTTTGAGACACATGTATGTTTGGGTCCCCCTTATCCCACAACCATAGAAACGTGGCTGCAAACTGTGATGGTGAAAGAAGAGGAAAATATATTTTAGGAGAAGTGGCCTTTTGCATTATGGCAGGGGTCCCCAACCTCTGGTCCATGGATCAGCACAACATTCCTGAAACCAATCCGCACAAACAAACGAAGCCTGTAATGGGAAAACACTGCCACTCTGGTCTGCAGGGAAACCTCTCTCCACAGAACTGTCCCCTGGTGTGCAAAAGGTAGGGGCCTCTGCATTCTGGGACCAGAATAGCACCTTTGTTCATACAATACAGTTTTGCTTATAAATAAAAATAAAATAAAATCCTACTTAGAAAATCCTATTTAGTATAATTGACTAATTTATTTATTGAATTACATGGAAATAATAATAGCTTACCAAGAAAAATAGGTCGGCATGGAATGTTACAAGTACACCAGAAAGTTGAAAAGGAAAAAATGGGTGTTGGAAACAATACATTAAAACATAGATAGTTCTAACTCTAAAAAAGTATTGCACTATATGTAGGTAACTGCCTTACAATATAAAGAGTAATGTCAACTCTACAAAGCCTATAAACTATATAAAGATCCAGGTCCTGATGGGTTTTTGCAATATAATGTAAGACTTTAAAAAATGCCTTGGTTAAATCATTAAGTCAAGGAATGGATGAAATTGAGGGATGTGAAGATCTTTCTTCCTTACAAAACAAGTTTTGTCCAAGTGGAGTTTGAGACTATGGATTTTTGAGGATTGGTGCCCTTAGGAAAGAAAAACCATTGACTCCATTTGGTTGAAGCAAAAGGTTCTTTTACTAAAAAGATTTTGGCTGCAATAAAGTCAGGATACCTCTGGGTTTCCCATGCTCAAAAGATATAGAAAGCTTTCCCCTCATCCCAACTCTTCCCCAAGACCATTCCATCTTCATCCAATCAGAACTTGTCGAAGCATTTTGAGAATGCAGTGATGTTTTGGGGTAATCCAAATTTTTTTCTCAGGGTGCCTGGCCTTTGGATGCTGGTACAAACTGGTTCTGAGCTTCTCTGGTATCTATCACCTGTCATTCCACCCTCCCTATTTCCCATCACATACACACAGATATTATTGCTCATCTATTCCCCGCCCCCTCTTCTAGCCTTTGATGGCAGGATGCCTGTTCATCAAGCTGAACCCAGGAGACATTTAAGATTTTAACTTGTGGGTAATGCACTTTACAGGAGTATCTGGAAGCAGCAGCTGGTTCACAATATAGCAGTGCTGGCAGATGTTTACTCCTTAATCAGCACATGTTATATCTCTGCTCTGTAAGCTGCATTGGTCGCCAGTATGTTGCTAGGCTCAATTCAAATGTTGGTTATGAGCTACAAAGCCCTTGATATTACTTGAGGAATCATCTTTCCCTGGTTATATCCACCCATCCCATCAGGAGCAGCAGTAGAGCCATGCTGCTGGTCCCATCTAAGAAAAAGTGATATCTGGTGGGATCCAGGAAGAACCTTTGTTGTGGCAGCCACTGTTTGGAATAGCATCTCCCTGGAAATCAGAGCAGTCCTCTGTTGGCCCTTCCTAAGGCTTTGAAGACATAACTCCATCACTGATCAGGGTGGGTGGGATGAATGGCAGATTCTGTGAGATGATTATGTTGATGATGGATTTTGATATTTGCATATATCCTGGCTTCTGTTTTAATGTTATGCTCCTGTTAGGTTCTATTTCTTAAATTGTTGGTCATCCAGAGTCACAACAATGAAGTGGGGCTGTGATGCAAACTGAAATAAGTAGATAGCATTCTATGTAGGGCTGCAATATGGTGATATAATCAATTGTACTTTACTAAGAAACTTGTTCTATTCTAAAGTCTTCAGTGTTTGCATCCAGGATACTTTTGCACTCACTTTTCCCCCCCATGCACTTGAATAAGCTATGAAATGCAAGACCTTGTACAAGTTTCTTATTGCTATTTTTCTTGGCTTAAGAAATTCATTTTTAGAAAGTTGGGAGAGATATGTTTCAAAATGTTCTGCATATGGCTATTCTGATCGCAAATAATCAGACTGTTGGTCTACACTTTCAAGCTGAAGTCTTTTCCTCGGTGCAGGTTCAAAGACAGTTAACTCCAGTGGTGGGATTCAAATTTCTTAACAACTGGCTCTGTGGGCGTGGCCTAATTTGTGGGTGTTGCTTGGTGGTCATGTGACTGGGTGGGCGTGGCTTGGTGGTCACGTGACCAGCCAGGTGTGGTTTGGTGATCACGTGACTGGCTGGGTGTGGCCAACTCAACATCACTTCTTTGCCCTCATGACTTTTTTAAGTGTAAAAAAAAGATATACCAAAATAAAAGGTAGTTTATTATTTCATGTCTTTAATGCTTAAATAATTAAAAAGGTAGACAAAACTAGATTGTTAAATGTTTTAAAATATTAATCAAAACTATTACATAACAAAACTTTACAAAAAACAATAAAACTTATTTAAAGTACTGCCAAATTACTTTTTTATTGGCGTCCTCAGTTACAGTTTTCTTTTGTTTGACACAAGCATCATCAGCTGTGAGATATGCCCATAACCATTTCTTTACTATAGGAACAGGGTCCCATTCTGGCAGAGGTAAGCCAATTAGATTGTCAGCAAGTTTGTTATATTGGAAACTATTAGGCGACTTCTGCCCTCTGAACATATTATGTTCATCTGTGAGTTTTGCCTCTGCTGAGCTGACTGCAATAGTCCTAACAATATCTCTAGCCTTTTTAATGCTGCAAGAAATTGTATATTTTTCTGAATCTTTTAATACATTTTCTATGAAATCGCAATAACCATTAATATTGATTTCATAACTGAAAATTTCACCAAATGCAACCAATTGTTCTTCAGCTGCTTTCCATGGAACCACCACTTCTTCAATGTTCCAGTAATCTGGCTCCAAATAATTTAGAAATTCTAATTTACAGTGTCTTTAAATTGGCAACCTGTTTTTAAATGTTCACAATCCATCAATCTTTTCTTCAAATTAGTTACAATGCTTTCTACAAGTCTTTCACAAGGAAGTCCCACAAATCAATGATTTTGTACAAAATTTATATTTTTGTATCCATCAACCTTTTTTTAAAATATGCACCCTTTTCCTTTATAAGCGTTTCAAATGATTTAATTGATCTTACCACAAGTTTTTCAGCCTTTATAATGTCTATGTTTCTCACTTGCAATGCATTAGAAAGAAAAGATATTTCAATTAGGACATCAATCATCAAGGCCAAATCAGTGAGAAAATATGTGTTTTCAAGCCATACCTGAGTATTTTTTATTTGAACAGAAAAACTGGTGTAACAAACTCATACAGTAGTTTTAAATCCCGAGGACCA